TATAGCAGTGTTTGGTTTTTAAAATATTTTATTTCGGAAATCACGAAAACTGTCGAAAAAAGAACTAAGTAGCACTTTTAAAAGCATGCATTAATGTCCCAAGCGTACCACATATGACCTGCGACATATTATATCATTATATATTAACGCATACAATCATTAAGTAGTTATTATAAGTGGCATGTTTACTAGTAAATTTTGGCGTGTCACCTTACCGTATATTAATCTACTCGCCTTATTTATTTTATTTAAAACCTATGAATTATGATAGCAATTACCTATATATATAGGTAATAGGTACACGTGTAGGGCACTCACGCACAACGATCGAGAAAACATTAGACAAGATGACGCCCGATTCGTGATCCTGGTTATCTCTTGCCACGCGTGAGCGCAGCAATAACAAATTCACGATGACGGTGACAACATGAGTCACACCCGATTGAAATCTTAAAAAAAACCGGCAAATTACACTTAAATAACGTATATAATAATGTAGTATATAGCTGTATAATAGTACCATCGAGTATAATGATAATATATTATTATTACTACGACACACATACTCAATGATAGCGCGTGTAGTATTTATTATTTAAGAACGAACAACAATAATTATGATTATATTTTATCGTTATTGACGGATGACGAGTCGATTGTTACCAGCGACCACCTAGTCGATCGCTATAAAAATATGATTGAGACGTACCTATATTTATAATTTTATTATCGTTCGTCGGAATAGCTGGCGCCGTCTGTCGCCGACCATCGCTGTTATTTGGCGAGACCGTCACGCGAAAACGACAACGCCGTCCAACACGTCCTCTAGCGGACCCACAGCAGTTTATGATAACTATTAGGACCGCACCACGACACGTCATGCTGTAAATGTGTCTCTCGCCCCCCTTACTTCTTCGACATTATAGATGCCGGTGCGTACTACGGTTGGGTCTGAAATAATATTCAATAAGTGAGTTGCATCGGAATAAAAGGATAAAAATTAACATCGATAACAATAAATTGCGTCCAGAGGGACGATTTTTTATCAATATTGTTGCGTCCTTTGCTATTGATAATTTCATCAATATTAAACTCCATTAGTTTTTAATATATTTTTTCTTATAATATTATTTGAAATATATATTATATTTATACTTAATTTTAATTATAAATTCGTAATAATTATTAACCTCTCGACATTATTAATATATTTGAGCTTTTGTCATTATATATCCATTTTAATATTAGGCTGGGTTCGCATGGATCGCAGTAGTAAATTTAGATAATTATTATTATACAGGTTTCCTATACAGTGTACATCGTTCACATGGATGCTCGTCGATCGCGGTAACAACGCAAGATTCAATTTCCAAGAGTGACATGGAGAAATGAATTACAGTTTTTACACCATAAAAAAAGTTTCGTCCTTATAATAGGTTGTTAAATTTTAGCTACAATGTTTTGACACTGTTTAAAAGAAATAGTTTTTGTAAAAACTAAAGCTGAATATTATTTTTTTCAAATATTTAATTTGTTTTTCTGAAAATTATTTTTTTTAAATATAATTGTTTGATTTACATACTTAGTAAGTTAAAAGTTAACTTCTATATATATTTATAGCTTCATTAAGTTAAAAATGTATGGACAAAAATTAACTAGGTAAGGTACTAAATATACTTAATCATTAATACAATATAACTTTTTAATCGGTAAGAAAATCATCATACCTATATAAAGATAAACGTCCGAAAAATTGCACAAGCATAACACTATCAAAATTCATACTACCGATCGTTCAGTAACCCATTCCATATACTTACTTTGAAACAGCTTATAGCGTTATCAAAGTTTTCGAAAATAACCACATGAACACTGTACAAGGGTTCATAATTATTAATTTTAGTATATTTTGACGTTACTAATAGCTACCTAGTAAAACTGTCAAATTGGTAGGTACAACAATTTTAATATAAAATAGGACGTCACGCTTTTGGGTGAATTACTTTTTTCCCCACATAATAAAATTAATGCGTTTGGGTTATGGGTTTCTTATGATGTGTTTAAGTGGGTAAGATACAATATAAAAGATAAAATAATAAGTTTTTAAAGATTAAGGGGGCTGGAGCATAATCAATTCTAAGGGGTAAAAACTATGCATTTTATATGTTATATTTTACCTGTTTATCTGGGTCTTGGGAATGTGTTGAAAGTAAATGAACATTAGTGTGTGGAGTTCGTAGTACTGAACACTTTTTATAGGGGCATTTTACCTACGTGCATGCACAAGTCACCATATTATATTGCTTTATAAAATTAGAAACATTTTTTATCAAAACATTTTCTTTTATTCATCGAATTTTAGTATGGTTAGGTTAGGTTAGAATTTTGTATTAATCTATTATATTAATTCACCGTAGGTGTAATTTATTGAAAACAAACTTGGTATAACTTTGATACTCTAGAGTTAAATCATACACTTACGTACAAACAGTACTGGGTCCGATAATATACTGCTGCGAATCAGAATTTTTATTCCGGGAAACGGAAAAGTTAAGATAAGTTTTGAACACCATAAACCAAATATTAAATAGCAAATTCAACAAAGTGTATGTCTTATTGAGTAGGTACATTTAACGGGCAACGAAGTGCACGGGATCAGTGCTATTTTTAATAAAAATATATTTATCATTAATACCACTAGAAACATTTCAATACGTTTCCACAAACCTTTTTTTTAATTACTTGCGAATCACATTAAACTATACAATTTTAATAAAAATTATACATAACATCGTCGAAGGCAAAATAAACAACCAATCACGGCCGAAGCTGTGACGGGTCGGCTAGTAATAATATATAATAATTGATTAAATTTAATAAAAAAAAAAAAACAAAAAATGAAATCATATTCTATATCAATGTATTTAAATTTGAATTATGAAATTGATCTATTTTTACTCTTTTTGTTAGTCAATTTCTAAGTAAAAAAAAAATCAGAAACATTAAATTGTCAAAGCATAGATGATTTAGTGACGAATTCAAATCTGCTTTCAAAACTAATATAGGAACATTATATTGGGCGTAGTGATTGAAGTCGTAAGCTATGTTTTCGACTAAAAATGATTCACGCTCCAGTCCCTTAACTACATTTTAATATGAACTCGTTAATGCCCCACAGTATTGTTCCCAAATCATCTTCGTTTATTTGTGATTATGTTCCAAATAGTCTAATTGAACTAACCCTGGAAGTTCAGCGGGAATTTTTTTAAGTTTACTCACAACGCCTCAAGGGTATATTATACAGATAACTGTCCGGAATCTGCGTTTTAAGCTTCATAATTCTTACGCCCGTCCCCATAACAGGTAATTAAGGGGCCTCGCAATGGCATTGATTTAAGGAGAATCATTTAGGCAATTTCTAATCTCGTCGTCGCCACCCGAGATCTATGTGTTAGTCGTAAATGATTATTAGGGTGTGTGGCGTCCATGCGGGTCAATTGTAGCTCTCGCACGCACTCGCACACACATGTCAATATATAATAATATTGTGATCATGAAAAAATGCTTATTTTTCACTTAAACATACGATTCTAATTCCAATAGTACGTCGCAACGATTACCTCAATTTTCATTCTGACAAAATATTCTTATTTTCCACAACATGTACGAGGGATCGACCGAGGCACATTTTTAAAATTATATTTAGTTAATTAAATATTTAAGTTGGAAATTCTGTATTTTTTTTTATTTTTTTACAATTTTTATTGCAATTTACATTACAAAATTTAAAAATGTGGCTCGATCGTTCCCTTGCATATATTACGGACAATCAGAATATCTTTTCAGAATGAAAATCGTGATAATTGTCGACACGTATCGTTGGAATTAGAAACAGTAGTTTTTGACAAAAAAAAGACTTGGTAGTGAGGCCCCTTAATTCAATAACAAAATAAATTTGGCTATAGCAATAACCTGCATTATATTATAAAAAAAATTAATTGATATCGGTTGTGTATTGAAATTTAAAAGTCATTGTGAAATTCGAAATACTAATAAACAATTTATAAGTGAGTGACGAGGTGGCCGAGCGGTCTAACGCGTCGGCTGCTGCGCTGCCGGTCGCGGTTTCGATTCTCGACCACCGGGCGGCATTTTTCTCCGGGCAATTAACGATGTCCGGAGAACAAGTTTCGCCTAACCTAAAATAACCTAACCTAACCTAACCGGGCATAGCAGATACCTACGGGTGCCCAATCAAAAATTCTGTCAAACACAACACACATGTGTAAAACCCTACCATTACAAACCCTACTACCTACAATCATAAAAACCCCACAATCAGCTAATGGCCATAGTCGCCGGGCTTTAAAGATAAAAAAAAAAAAAAAAATTTATAAGTGAGACAGTAAGAGTACCCATTATATTGTACCTATGCCTATAATATGTAAATCAAATAGAGTACATAGAGTAGAATAGAGTCAGTATGTTCAAACAAAACATAGCTCCTTTTATTTCTGAAAATTTAATTAAAATAACTTAATATTCAATATATAACAAGCGCATTCAAGTTGAGTGTGTAGGTTTTAAAACAGTTTGGTGAATTTCAAGTATTTCAAGTTTTAAAAGAGTTAATATAAAAATACATTTTTTGATTAAAATCAATACTCTTACAATATTTATTAGTATAGTACATACTAAATACCTAGTAATAACGATAATATAAATATGTAGTTTAATTAGGGTGGCCAGATATAAAATACGAAAATACGGGACAAAGATAAGAATTTTTTTATCATGAATAAACATCAATTTTTGATGAAATACTTGAATATTTAGTCTTAAATCTAAAAATGATAATTGATAACTAACAAATTTAACATACTAAAATAATCTTTTTTATATATTAAATCATAATTTTAAAAATTATAAATATTTTTTTTTTACTTATAAGTATAAACTATAATAAATATAATATAGACAATATAGTGTAATATGATTTTTTAACAGGTGTTCGAAGTTGATGCTTGGGTATTTAGTATTACAGTTTTTGACTCCTTCGGTAAATATTTTTCGGACGAATCTATATGTTTTAAAAGTTTTTTATTTCCCAATAAAAAATCATGAAACCCAGAACAGTCCTCAGTGAAAAAATGTTTTACGACTAACATGGCTTTAACAGTTTTAACATCAAATCTGCTTTTATCATCAGTCCACAAGTTATTCATGTCGGAGAAAATTCGTTCAACATTTGCATTAGAACCTGGAATACACATTAAAAATTTTCATCAATTGTATTGTATTTGAAATGTTTTTCCAGGAGAAATCGTCTTCTATATTTTTTAAAGTAATCCACGAAACTCCATTGAACTTGCATAGTGTTGGATTTGTCCACTCAGTAATAATATAATCTGAACATGTTTCAAAAAAAATTGTTAGCCTCTATGCGGGCTGTGATCCATTACGATGAAGACCAAAAATAACTTTATATTCGAATAATCGAATTCGATATTTACAAATCGGTTATCATAATAATATAGCAAAAACATCATTATTCTACAAATGCATTATTATATACGATATACATTTACTCCGTAGACCTTATTTGATATTTAATACAGATAGATGAAGATTATATTTTTAATTTTATTTACATATTATTTTCTATTATATGAAAATATTCATATTTTTAAAAAACGGGACAATATAGCGTCCCGGAAGCATATGTCGGGACAACGGGACAGACTTTTGAAATACGGTACTTTCCCGTATAATACGGGACGTCTGGCCACCCTAAGTTTAATACAGAATACGTTTCACGATTTGTGCACGCCAGAAAAAATAGTTTATTTCAGAGCGCAATACATTTTCATTTATTAAAAGTAAATCCAGAAATCTATTACAAAATATTGTATTATAGATACTAAACATGTTATACTTATAGGTACAACATAATTAAAAATTAAATGTATTTATTTATGTAAAATAATAATGGGACATTATTGAGACCAATGAAAAGGGACCCACTGAACAAGTGTGTGTAGGGGCCTTTAGTTCAAATCACTTCAAAATATTCAATGAAATGTTTAATTAGGTATATGTTTAGTCTTGAAATAACAAGAAAAGTACAAAAAAAAAACGTGTGCCGGATTTAACATCTGACGCTCAACGTTGATGTGTTAACATTATACCGTGGTTCAAATTGTATGGGTAAAACATTTTTTAACAACGTAATGATTTAGGAAAATATTATGTATACGCATGTAATATTTTTACATTATATATTTTTTATTATATTCAGGTAATGTCCATGATTCATATTCGGGTATAATAGACAATAATTATGGTCAGGTTAATTTATTAGCAAGCAGGTAACAATTGACCCGTGATTGTTAAATAAGGGTGAGGACGGGCGCACACCAATGCAGTAAAAAAAAACCTGTTACGACCCTAAGCATACGGCGCACTACAAATTACAATAAACTGGCTGTCCATTTCGCAGTGCAGCCGTTGCTCTGTTTTGGTGTGTGCCTGGCCTCACACGGGAGGGAGCCGTCGACACTGCGTGGTCGTTTTCATTTCTTATGGTACGCGTATGCTGTTTCACCGATTCACTTGTTGCACCCGTTATTTTGCATACGTTCTTTTTTTTAGGGGCGCATGACGATGTTGACAAATTGACAGTTGTGAAATCAAACGATATAAATCAGTACAATAAAATGCTAAACTTACAAAAATAAAATTATAACAATAGTAATACATTTAAATATTTATTTTCTACGCGTACAGCGGCTTAAAATTTATTATCTTAAGGTGATTGCAAATGGTCAGTTTTAAAGGAGTTCAAAAATGCCAGTTTTTAAAATGTATGCATGCGGGTCAAGTAAATGTGTGCGTATAGTGATCGTTAGTTCGTGTGTGTGTGACTGTGTGTAAATAAAATATCGGAGCGGGAGCACTCGCATTTTTTTCCCTTCAATATAGCCATTTGAAATTTTGTTTTAAATGTTTGTGAAATAAGCAACTCTTCCCTCTTCTATACCAGCAGCTTTCACCTTCGTATATTGGACTAATTACAGTCTTCATATTTAATTTTATATTGCAATTTTTTCAATTTGTGTATACTTTAAGTGATAAAGTGTACAAATAATTATTTCTTAGGTAATTTTACCTGTAAAATATAACTACATTTTCAATGTTCGCTTTATGGTTCTTCCTAATAATGATAGTAGAAAAGCATTCTATATACGGTCGATGGCCATACACTCAAACGAGGGCCATAATATTTTTAAGGGTAATCAATTCCAAGGGATAAAAGCGAGGCATTTTATATTTTAGTTTATATGGGTCTTGTAAATGTATTGAAAGTAAATAAACATAAGTGTTTGTGATTCGTACCGATCACGTGTTATAGGGGCATCATAGTGACCGGATATGTGCGTCTGTCATTTTACCTACGCGCATGCACAGGTCACCTCATATTATTTTATACAATTTCACAAACATTTTCTTTCAAAAAATACCGCTAGTGACTTTAATCACTCAGTGGGATGTTCCGATTTAAATTTTGAAAGCAGATTTGAATTCTCCTCCAAATTTACTATGCTTTCACTGTTGTACATTTTTCATATTCTATATCAATGTATTTAAATTTGAATTATAAATATGATATATTTTTTTTTCTTTTTGTTAGTAAATTTCTAAGTGAAAAATAAATAAATGAAACTATCCAAGCATAGATAATTTAGTGACGAATTTAAATCTGCTTTCAAAATTAATATCAGAACATTATATTGGGCGTAGTAATTGTAGTCGTGAGCTATGTTTTCGACCGAAAATGAATCACGGTCCATCCCCTTTAATATATCGATAATAATAAATATTTATTATCCAACGTATTCCAGGTTCCAATGGGAAAATAATTATAGAAAAATTAAAATATGTCTTAAACAAATGAAGGATATAAAACTATTAAAACTTACTCTCAGGTTATGGCAGGAAATAAAATTGTTAATTTAGATATAACGCCAAATTGTTTAAATTATTTTCCATATGCACCGATAACATGTTATGGTAGATGTTTAACGTAATTTTTCATTACATAAACATTCTTTAGGTAACAGACAATATAATTTTCAAGAACACAATTTAAAAATGTATAAAATTATACATTTTAATTGAGAAAAATAATATATTATTTTAATTTTTAAATACTTTTTTATAATATATATATTTTTTTTAATATCTACTATTTTATAATTCTGTAATATGTTAGTAGGTACCCATGATGTTATTTAAGTATTATATTATATTAACAAATATATATTTTATATTTTTATACGATATTATATGATTTATTTATAATTTATGTAACTATTGAAATTTTAATATATTTATAGTTCAATTTTGATATATTTAAATTGAAATGTTGACATATTTGTATATTATACCACACGAGAACATAGTAATATATGGCCATTGGTCACCTTCTGTTATATCACTAGATAAGTGGTGGTATGATAGTTTTTAAACGGGATTTGGTTTTAAAACATAATTTATAGATCTTATATTATTAAATTTATTCATTAGACTGCTATTTAAGTCAATATAATTTCTGAAAATATTGGTACGACGGTGTATGATTTTAAGATAACTTAAATGGGTAGTATGGTTTACCAAAAATAAAGCAATACTCAACAGTTGTATAAAAAAAGGTTATTTTATTTATTATGTTGCATCTGTTGTTCGGAATAGATGTACAGTTTATTGAAATAGGTAAATTCACAAACGAAAACCGGAAATATTTCAACGATTTTCATCGTAAAACAAAAACTACCGAAACAACATTTTTTTTTTTTCGTTTCACTATAGGCGATAAAACCAAAGCTATTTTCTAAACTAGTTATCGATTATTTAAATATTTTTATCGTATATTACAAGATATTCCCAACATACCCAACATTCTCTGCCAAGATTTTCGAACCGTTTTGCCGAGCTAATTAATATTTTGAAACTATTATAGTTTTTTTATTGTTTTTAAATTATTAATTACTAAAAATAATTTTTTTTTATTATTATTAATTAACCCGCAGAACTTAGGCCATTGGGTGGTTTCTAACTGTGAGGGAAGGTACTGTAGGTTTTAAACACGTGCGTTTGTTAGTTTGGCAGATTTTTTAGTGGGCACCCGTAGGTATCTGCCATGCCCGGGGTGGCGGATCGCGGCAATTCTCTCCTGACACTGTGACTTGCAAGAAAAAAATGCAGCCCGTGGCCGATGTTTTGAACCGGAGTCGGTGCTCACCTCAACCGACGCCTTAGTCCACTCGGCCACTCCGTCCCTCCCAAAAAATAGTTCTTATATTATCTTCAAATTTCTTTATCCTTCTATAAATAATTTTGACCCACACAATGCCTAAGCGTATTACTGATTTGGCTCGTGGTAAAAAAGTTGTAGACCATTGATATATAGACTATAGAGAGGTGATCATTTGTACTCGCTATAGATAACATTTTTAAAATATTGAAAAACAAATAATAGTTAAATTGTATTATCTTGTTTGTAGTCGTCATAATTAATAATGTTTGAATCAATTTAACCCATAGTATGATGCATTATTATATTTTTATGATAAGTCATCAATTAAATTAAAAAAAAATACCAACTCATTATATGATTTGGATAATCACTTTACATAAAGTGGAACAACACTACGTAATGGTAATACATAACACTCCCAAACAAATCAAATCATACAAAAGTTATGATTGTAAATGTCAATAATTTGTAATAAGGCTGTGCTAATAAAATTCTTATTAAACCATTTGCACACCTCCTTTATATGTTTCAATAACACTAAAATACTAAGCCAGGTGTCACGCCACTAGGCTATAAAAAAAAATTACTATTTCGTTACGAGTTTTAAAATTGCCTCGTGGTCCAAATTCTCGGGTTTTCTATTTACTGCATTCGTCGTTGATGTAAGATGTAAGTATACGATCAGATGACTTTGGGTTTTATATTATGTACGGTATAATATTATATACAATATGCTGTTCACAATACTGAAATTCCTATAGGTACAATATAACAAGTCTATCGACTGATGGAGTGTTGGATATTTTATATACTTGTTCCTGGGTTGAAAAAAAAACATATCCCACAGCTGTTGAGATGTTACACTGAGTAACTGCCCTTTTGACTCCACACTACACACGTGGAAGACACAAATTGAATGAATAATAAAAGGAAAAAGCATGTGCGTACCTTATTGTA